TAAAACATATTGCTTAAATTGCAATTATAATGAGGGTGGGGAAAAAAGAAACCAAGAAGAAAGTGAAGAAGGTTATATATAGAGTTGTTAGTTTATCTGATTGTTTTTAATAAAACTGTGATTTTTGTATTAGACTGAACCAATATTTTCTATTTGCGTTTACCTGATTCCCTGTGTAAGTATATGAAAACTGAGGTAGAGAAGACATTGACATGTCAGCACATTGGGAGTTTAGGCACCTCCTAAACTCTAACACTCCAGGATTTAGTGTCTAGGATTAGCATGTTAGCGCATTAGCACTTCACCTTCATTCGGCATTCACCGTGCCTCACACTTCTTGAGCATGGAGGAGAGGTTAAATGCTTACATACTCACTCACACTTATCTATACATGTAAACAAAAAGTTTTCTGTCTAGCAGAAAAGGTAGATAAGCAAATTGGGGGTGATAGCACGGTGTGGTAATTGGGATACTGTAGGATTACAGAGAAAGGACATCCGAGTGAGACGAAGAATATAGAAAGGTTCCCCAAAGAAAGTTACACTTGAGATTTGAAGAATGACTGGGCATTCAGTTTAGTATTAAGATGTAACAGTGACTGTAAGTACTATTCCAAGTATTACAAGTAGTTTGGTAAAACTGGTGGGAAGAGTGCATAAGCAGAAATGCGCAAGATAAGGAAGGAAAAGCTTGGAAGGAGCTAGCAAGCTAAGCCAACGATTTTAATATAATACTGAATCCCCAAATAGTTAAACAGTGGAGTCTCATGAACAGGTTTAGGTTTTAGAAAGACCTCTCTGAATATTGCAGAAAATGTATTGAAAGGGTTAGACTGAGGTAGAGAGATTAGTAACTGAGGAGAGAACAGGCTGGCCTAGATAAAGTTGGGGGCAGTAATATTGAATAAAACCTAATAAAATTTTTTAAATATTTTACATTTTATAATAGGCATTAGAAGTTTTTTTCTTAACTCATCCTTTCAAGGATGATACATAGTGGTAAATACAATGGCATGCTCACCATCTTATTGGCCCCAGTTGTTAGACTTAAGTAGATCACTACCTGAAAGTCTTTGCTCGAATAATTTCTTTTAGAAGCGTCAGCACAAGACAGGTCTCTATGAGGCAGAGGTTAAAGATGTCCCAAATGTCCAACGTTTCCAAACTGCTGTGCCACTCCATCATCTCTGACATCAACTCCTCCTCCTCCCCTCAGTACTCTTCTTCCTCCTGTCTTAGAGTTAGTTCTGTATTGTGCTGTAAGGTCTCACAGAACTCACACACTGCCCAGGAAATGGCTTGTGCTGTGGTGGAGGCTGGCAAATCCCAAATCTGTGGGTCAGACATTGATCTAGAAGATTGTAGTTACAGAGACTGACATACCCAAATCGCAGGTCAGATGACTGACTGGCTGCTGTCTGAAGTCCCAAGAACCAAGGATGAGATGATGATAAACCAGATGCAGAATCCAGAGCAGGAGAGCAAATTTTGCCAGAGCATTCATATATATATATACCCTCAAGGAAAATAAGCATGGTGACTTGAGCCACACCCTCCAGCAAGGCAGGATTCAAGATACGTCCCACCTAGTCCTGCCTCATCAACACAACAGACGATAACTATAGGCATAGAGGCTAGAATTTACATCACAAAATGGGGACTGTGGCTGTTATTGTT